TCATGGAAGCAAAATTAATCGTCTAACGTACTTAACATGTATCTCTATTTTAAAAAGGTTATATAACAGTAATTGTATATAAATAAAACATTTTTTAGACATTGTATTATGATGGGCAAAGCTGTATCAATATCCACAAAAATGGTTTTGAGTTTGTTTTATTTTTTCTATTTGTTTTTTTTTTGTTTGACGACGTATTGTCAATTAACAATGGTAGTTTCCATTCTAATACCGATACGGTACGGTTGGCAGGGGATGCTCACTCCTTCATGGCACCTGATCCCACCTTCGATCATGTTTTGGAGGTCCGTGTTTGCTCTGCTCCTATTTTGTAATTGTTTTATGAACTTTTGTTCTTAAATACTGTTCGTTCTCTCCATATGTTTTATTGACAAATGTGATGTCATTAAGTAGTCGAAGTCAATACCTCGGCTTCCCTTAAAAAACTTTTTATTCGAATAGTTCTTAATTTATTTAAAGATTTAATACTACTGATTTTATTTGTGCTATTCTAAATACTTTTATGCAACTTTAAAGGTGCTTAGACACACATTTGATGTTAATGTTTTCTCCAATTTTCGGCATATTATTGTGACTGATATGCGACAACAAACCATCGGGGTTTCGCGCAGACCATCGGACTGGCGGCATCATCGGATTTTGGAGTTTTACCTATGTTACTATAGCATTTCACACGGAAATATAACTTCAGAAACTTACTCTATAAATCTGGAAATTATTGAAACTAGGAATTTCGGGATGCGTTTATAATTGATACATCCTTGCAAAGCAAATTTTATCCTTAATACATGTACTTATGAGAAGTGAAAAAAAATTTGTGTTTTAATAAAATATATTCAAACTTCAGTCCAGAAAAATTATAGTATAGAAATTTGGGAAAGCAAAACCAACTCAACAGTATTATCAGTCCGTACTCAGTAATGTGTACAGAGTTGAACACGGTAAAACGTCGACATTAACAAAATGTTCGTCCTCTGTTTAAAAACAAAAACTTTTCACAGGTGTTCAACTTGTCAAAGAAACACCTTTAAAGAAACACCTTACAAACAGAAATTTTAAGAATCAGAACCCCGAATATAGATTTATTTTCTCTCTCTCGAAGAAATGCTTTGCCAGTTACCTCAGTAGATACAGCAATGATACTTTTTCGCATCGTTTCCCGATCATAGATCCAGTGTAAGAATACTACAAAAACCCCATTTCTGGCCGTTATGCACACGTCAATACAATAAATAAATGAATACCTCCCCCCCCCCTTTCTTTATAATTTTTAAATAAATGATCTGTAGATGTTTGAAAATATTTTCGCTGTTCTAAATCAAAAGAGTATTGTTTTTCCTACTTATTTTGTTATATTATGTCCATAAATAGGATCATGAACTAACTGCAAGAAGTAGTAATTCGTTATTGCTCTCGGTTCATTTTAAAACCAGAATTTTTCCGTTTCATGATGTTTGGTGAAATGACTTTACGAAAAGGCCCAGAGTGTGTGTCGAGTCTGCTTGAAATGAAAAAGGTAGGGTAACGAACAGTGATCTGTCACTGAAAAGTACAAACAATATAAATCTATGGACGGGGTATAAAACACAGACCCCTGGCAATTACAGAAGTAGGATCAGTTGCCTAGAATGAGTAAACATCCCCAGAAATAGGATGTTTTAAGTCCTGAAACAAGGAAAATTATATTTTACACGTACTTTACCCTAGTCACCAAAGAAGCTCAGAATATCTCTACCTTAGTCAAAAATTTATTTTACCCTAATCATGCTCAAATTTTGGTAAAAATATATATATTCACATAGGAAGCGAAAAAGCGCGAACACAAAAAACATGACATTAAATTTTTGAAAACCAAGAGAGTTAAACTATTGAATATAGTCTGTTCCCTATTTATTTGACCCTGTTATTTCAGGTAAGAGAAGGCATTCTCTTTATTGTGAACAAAACACACAAGATGAAATGCTCCCATTAAGCTTGACTTAATGGTAGCTTATAGGTGCTTAATGGTGGCTTAAAGGCCGCCCTTAAACAACCATTAAGCCACCATTAGGCACCGTAGCCACCAGTAACTTTGATTAAGTAACTATTAAGCAACTATTAAGCCAAATTTCTAACTTAATGGTAGCTTAATGGTATCTTAATGGTTACTTAATGGTGACTTACAGGTTCTTAATGGTTACTTTTAAACCACCATTAAGTCACCATTAAGTCACAATACGCAGTCGATTATATTGTTTATATTGGTGAAAAATTATTTTTATAGTGATTTGTTATCATTATTATAAATGTAGAGTTCGTTTTATCTTGATTTTGTAAAAATAATAATAAAAAAACGAAATTCAAAATCAAAAAAAAAATCGCCACAGTGGGGCGCGACCCATGTACCAAGTTTCGTAGGCCAACGCCATATCACAGGCGCATGACGTTTTCAACCTTTCAATTTATAAATAAACATTTTCCCGACTAGAATAATAAAGAAGGTGTCTCACGGAGCCATCTTGGATTTTTTCAGGTTAGCTACCTCGCCTGGAATTTTTAGTCTACAGTATGTTTAAAATAAACAGATACAACCCTTTCCTTGGAGTACTTACCTTAACTATGTCTCAACTTTCGGGCAATCCAACTCAAACCACATTAAACCCTCTGGGGCTCCTTTAAAAATATCGCTTCATACTCAGTCTACTGCTACCGACTCGGTAAAAACTTAGAAAAGGGAGGCCGGAAGTTGATGTTATTATGTAAATTTTTATTTATAAATAGAAAGGTTAAAAAACGTCAAGCGCCTGTGAATAAATGCGGAAAATATTAAATATTTAAACTTTTTTTCAAAAATTTGGACTTGGGTTTTTACTAGAATTTTGTTGATCATTTCCAAACATCTTGAATTGGTTTATTAATCAAAATATAAACAAATTTATTTTGGATCTTATTACATTAATATATATATTTCTACACGGAGTTCGGATTTTAGTTTGATGTAGTGTGATTGAGTTCTTCGCTCTGTTAGTGTTATTCCGAAATTTTCGAAATGTAAGCACTAAATGATCATGATTGAAGAAAAATGAATTTAAACAGCAAACACAAAAAGTCTATCATCGAAGAAAAGAGGAAAAAACAGATTCTACTATTATTTTTAATATACTGCGGATATTAACGGTTTCTGTCTACAAATTCAGTGACAATCCTCGCATAGGAGTTACCTGGTTAATTACGTTTACAAAAACTTTTATTAGAATATCATATTCAGTTTCAATTCTTTTGTATCATAATGGGTATCAAAATAATTGACTTTTTACGAGGAATCATAATTTTTGATTTGTTATTTGCTTTTGTTAAATTTATTTTTTTTTTTCAAATAATTGATTATTAAAATCTGTCAGTGTACGTTGTGTGTATAGTTTCCGTCGTTAGCCTACCGGGACGGACACCTAATTAAGGTCTATTGTCTGACCAGCCGGTTTACTGTACACGGATGATCTGTTAATCCTACCCCGTTTCTTAATGTGTATAAATCTGGTCGGATGTCATGTTTAATCTGATCGGCTGTTCTGAAAATCAATTTTGAAATAACAATAATTGAAGACCGACTACATTTTGACAGATACTTACCGCTGCATTTATATAAAAAAAAATAATAATTAATTAATTAAAATTATTCATGATGTAAAATCCATTAAAAAAGTTTTTCATGGTAAAAGTCAATTTTTGAAAACTAGACATTTGTATACCAGTAGCCCCCCCCCCCCCCCCAAAAAAAGGACATTTTTTTTTCATGAGATCATATATTTATATTCCTGTGAATTCTGTAGCGGAATGTTTCTTTTACATATGAAATAAAATAATTACCATTTTAATAAAGTAGTATATATTTTTTGTTTCGGACAGACAGAATTCTAAAAACAAATTGATTTTTGGTATTGTACAATTAAGATATTTCACAAGGACTTGCTCACGGTGTGTAATAATTATTTATTTTTAAAAATCATATACACTAAAAATAAAAAAAACACATTAAAAAAGTTAATTTAAAAATAAAAATAATATACAGTTCTGATACATGATGTCTTGTTTTATTAACACTGTAAATGATTTTAAGAAAAAATTAGACATCTCAGCAAGCCCCTGTAGCTATTAGCTACACTTCGTTCCCAGTGATCAAGTTTATGCATGTTGACAAGCTCAGAAATTATGATCGAGAACAGAATTATGAGATGAATAGATTTTGTACGTAAATGATATTAAAATAACTAAAAGCTATAGTTCAAAGATTCTATCAATACCAATGCTGAAGCAGCCTATATGTCATTCCTATAAACGATAACTCATAAATCGGCACTAAGTTGGTCATTTTTCACACCTGAGTTACCTGTCCTGAAACACAACATAGGAAAAGTCAATTATGAATGATTAAACTTTTTAATGATGTAATTAAAACTATGCATAAATTATTATCTTTTTTGATAATTTCATGTACCTAAAAATTCATTTATACAATGTTTTTTACCATATGTGCAACTTGAAAAATTAGTTAATGCGCCATGCGGTCGACTAATGACAGTTATGTATAAAATATATGTGAAAAAAAAATCCTTATTGTGAGTTTCTATACCCCTTGCAAATGATCGGAGATAAAAAAAAAACACAATTGGATAAAAATTACTTTCAACATAAATCAAGGAGATCCAATATATACTTTGTTGTACGTAATTACACTAAACTTCTTTGATTTTAAGGTTATTAGCTGAATGAAGGGAAAATGTCCGTCTAAAGTTGATCGATTTTTAAAATAGGATGATGATTTATCATGATTTATCAGAATTTTCTGATTTAATTTTTGCTATATCATTAGATACCCCATTTACTTGAAAAAAAGTATAAATACCTCCTGGTTTTAATTATATTTCCCCGTCATGTGATATAAAATATTACAACTATCAAGGGGTATTACACAGCGGAAGTTTGTTTGGAGTCGTGGAAAGTAAAAAAAAAAGTTCCCACTTGAGAGATAGACATTTAAAGCAAGTGATGACATCTTGGTCCCATCATTACACAATAACATCAGACGAATATGGTAAGTTGGCTTTGCTGAAGTTTCGAACTTCAAATATAGTTTACATACTTTATATTATTACCAATTGATTTTACATAATCTAGTTTTTAATTTGTTTTCATTAAATATCTGTATTTTTGAAGGTGTTTAAGATTTTACTGATCGTTGCGTTGTCGGCGTGTGTTTGCTATGGCACCCTGTCTGATGTCTTTCTGGATGAGGAATGGGAGGATTTCAAACGTGTCCATGGAAAGGTCTACTCTCAGCTAGAGGAACCAGAAAGGTTCGAGGATATCAATCTTTGTTAGGTTTCTTTCACATAGAAAAACAGTAATGATGCTATTCTTATTGGAATATCGTTATTTTTCATTTTCTGATGTTCAGTTTCTTAATTTCAGGCATTTTTCATTTATTTTTGCTGTGTTGAAACTTTTATTTTTCTTAGAAAGTTGATTTGGAAACAGAACCTTGATTTCATCAATAAACACAACATAGAGGCTGACTTGGGACACCATAGCTATCGGCTGGGAATGAATAAATATGGTGATATGGTAAGAAGTATTTTTGTTTTTGACTCGTTTACATCCAAAAGTACATTTTGTAGGATATATAAACTTTGAATAGTAATACATATATATTTTTATAAACTGTAAAGATTTTTCATTAATACACAGCAAGATTGCAACTTTTCCTCAGTATTAAGAATAAAAGTAAAATTTGTGAAAGTGCAAGGATGTGGCAATCAAACCCAGCAAAAAATCTGAAGATTCAATAACTTTAAGATGAAATAAGATTTTTAATATTTTTGTGTGAAATGCTATTAGAATATATAAGTAGTGATATTATACAGAAAATATTAACTTCAAATCTGTGTCCATACACCTTTAACGTGTAAACTATTTCTAAGAGAAATAATGAGTACTTCACTATCTATGACAAAAAATATTTATATTGCATTACTGAAAAATTCATTACAGAGACATACAAAACCAACTGAACTTCACTTGAATTCAACATGCACAACTTTAAATTCACATGAAATTCACGAAAAAATTACGGGAAATCTTTGCGATAATCAATTTTACAAAAAATGTACTTCTCATGTTATTTACACTTTAAGTGCACTCTAGAGTTGAATTCACGTAAAGGAATTTGAAAATTTTTTTCATGTAAAATATAAATAAAAAATCCCATTAGGCACGTCTCATTAGTATGCGTCTAACATAAGTATATGAAAAAAAACTGTTACAAAGTCCAAATCTTGTTTGATAAAGATCGCTACAAGGAACATCCACGTATCGATATTTCCTTAAACAATATATTGATACTTTGACAAATTTCAAATGCTTCAAAAACAGGTTCATTACATTACTTTATCAATATCTTAATTTACTATAATGAAGTCTTAAAAAATGCAAAGTTCAATATGATTTTGCTAAAAATACTGTGAAGTACTGACATAAAGTGTGTTCAATTTTTTTCATTAACACTGTACTATAGTAATATTACTTTTTTTCCTTTCCAAAGATTTGCATATACAAGTAATCCAAACGTGGTTTCAAAAAACTTTCTCGAGTTTCTAATTGATAATATCTATGTCGGTTTCAGAGATAAAGTTTTCTATTAGTAAGCTAGAATTCCTATGATAATAAATGGGTTCCGTTAATATCAGTTTTTTTTTATCATGATTAAATGATGCAGATTTTATAAATAGTATAAATGAGTAAAAGAAAACACTCATATTTCCATAAAAATGATTGATTTCAAATACTTTTTAGCCAAAAAATTGTCTTTATTATTTAGGATAAATCCTTCTCTGAGAGAAAAAAAAAGGAAATTTCGCTTTTGTGTAATTTCCCATATCGAGGAAATCCTACTGTAGGGTAAAGATTCCCTTGGGAAAGCTATCTATTGGGAAAACCATTCCCTACAACGCCGGTAATAATGGAGGAGATTTTGGGGAAAAACAACGGATGAACACAAATACTACAGATATTTACATGCACTGATCTAGATTGGGAGGGGGTGGTGTTCAGGGAATTTCCAGAGTCATTAAATTAACGTACTTACCCAAGCAAAAGCCTCGAATTCCCAGAGTTAATAAATGTATATACTTCATCAAGCAAAAGTGACCTTGGACCCCCTCGTAAACAGACCCAACCTTTGAAAACACAGATATATGTGTAAATTGTATTAAATTTCAAAGGTATGGAGCTCTAAAAGTCAACGACCCCCCACACTCCCCCCGGAAATAGAGTTTCACAATTGGAAGAATGAGTTTAGTTATATTTAGGGGGGAGGGGCTTTTTTGGCTTGTTAAGATATTTATTTGTTTGAATTTTTATTTTGACTGGGTGGACCCCCTCCCTTGGAAAAAAATTCTAGATCCGCACTTTTAAACCATACCAAGAACAGAATTTAAATATACTTTACCTTTATCATTCAACAAGAATGAATCTTATTTTGTATTAATTCAGACGAGTGAAGAAGTGTCAGCCATTTTGAATGGTGCCAGAGGTTTTAGTTTCATGAATGGCAGCACTTTTCTACCACCAAACAACATGAAGGTCCCAGACACTGTAGATTGGAGAACAAAGGGCTATGTCACTCCTGTAAAAGATCAGGTTTGTTACTGCGGAATTTGTATTTAATGAATATTTTTCACCTGGAACATCTTTCAATTTTGAAAATGGAGAGATGTTTTCAATGCAACAAACTTCAATGCTTTCTGTGGCTTGTTGTACATATAACAATCGGCATATATCGAGTATTTTAGTTTTACGTTTTTACAATAAAATTACTACATGTTATTGTTTTAATTTTTATCTTTAATTTTGATGTCTTTGTAGAAAAAGGATAATGCAACAAAGAATTTGTTTTGTAGAAAAAACTTTATCTTAGATATTATAATATTTTTAAAAGCTCTATACGAATACCAATGTAACTATAATTTTGAGAGAAAAAATTATTTATTTCCTTGTCTGCAGGGTAGATGTGGATCCTGTTGGGCTTTTTCTTCCACTGGTGGGTTAGAGGGGCAGCACTTTCGTAAAACAGGAAAACTAGTTTCTCTGTCCGAGCAAAATCTTATAGATTGTAGCAAAGGTACCACATGAATAAAATATTAAGTTATTATAATATAAAAAAAAAAATGAAAAAAAAGTAATGATGCAAAAATTAAGATGCATAATCTTCTTCCAGTTATCTTTTGGATTAAACAAAAATGACTTACGTTTTCATAATTCAGAGAACATGGGATGCCACGGAGGACTTCAGTCTAACGCTTACAACTTCATAAAAAACAACGGTGGAATAGACACTGAGGAATCTTACCCATACCAAGGAACGGTATGTATTCAACGATGGAAAAGCGAAACAATTTGTTATATAACCCGAGCTTACTTAACCAGAAGCTTAGATATGCTAATCTGGGCCTTCTTCAAGATCTGTTTGGTTGCGTGTCCTTTGTCATGCTTGGTTGGCACTGGAAGGGGTATCAAAAACAAGACTTTACTTACATAAAAAATAACAGAAGAATATTCTTTCGAAAATTGATATCGAGAACAGCGACATGATTAAAAATTGTCTAAAACTATATAAAGCAACTACATGCAATAGCATTTCAAGTTGTTCATTATAAAATGAATACCGTATATCCGGGTTTTTTTTCGCGATTATCTATATTTCGCATTTTTTGCGATCATTTTTGATCCGCAAAATATAAAACAGAAATTATGTCAGCTATAATGTGACATAAAATCATTGCCATTTTAAACAAAAAAATCTTTATTCGTAAAAAATAACTTACGCAAAATATAAACTATACAAATCTACACCTTTTTCGCAAAATTTCCAACACGGAAAAAAACCGGATATACGGTAGTAAACAAATCAATAAGGGTTAATAAAATAGAGTAGACATTGTTAGAAAACTGTATAAAAAGTGAGGCAAGATTCGTTCCTTAAGCTTAGACGGGTCCAAAAAAACTAATTATTTTAGGTTTTACTTTCATTAATTTTTTACCGCGGTGTAAGTTAAGAGAGTTATGTGGCAATAAATCGTTGATATTACGCATTCCAATTCTGTTGAGAGGAGATCAACACAAAATAGGAAAGGACTTGTCTCTAGTTTGAAATTAAATTCATGATATAAACTTGTTCATTTAGAAATCATAACAACAACAACAAATCATCATGTCCCCCCCCATTTCACACACACACACAAACTGCAAAAGTCTTCAAAGAATTAAACATAAAACCAAAAGCTGATATAGCACAGGATTTCAAACAAAAAACACTTAATCTAAAAAATAAATATTAGTTCAGGTCCCTTTTTCTCATTTAACCTTTTTAACGTCCCTCTCGAATTTTTCACTCAGTTGGAGACGTAATGAATGAAGATGTTTTGTGTCAATGTGTGACAGTCACCGCGGGGATTTTTTTTCCGGTTAGGTTTTTAGTTCCGGAATAACCATCAGGAAGCACCTTTAGGTTTCTACAAAATAAATCTCTTGATTTTTGGAGATTAGCAATATTATTTTAAAATATACCTTGAAACAGCTGATATGAAGAGCGCCTTAGCAATTTTGAACACAGGAGAAGTCCGTGTTCAACTGATTGATAATTGCTCAGTCAATTCGGGATTTTTTCCATTGCGAGGAGATGCAGGCAAGGTTGCTATGTAATTTGGTTTGGAGCCACTGTAACCCACATACTGGACAAGATGGAGAGTGTGTTTGGCACAACGGAACGTTCATGGAACAATTTACAGTGCCCGACAAGACTCATAATATTGTGAAGATGCAGAGTTGGAGTTGTTGTATGAGGAGATTTATAGAATAGGAATTTCGTCGCAACCTAGCAGAGAAAATATAGAAAGATGACAAACGGGAATGTAGAAAATTTTGTAATTAAGTGTATGTTGTTGGGTATCACTGAGTTACAAATTTGATGCAAGCCACGATTTTTGCAGCTAAGGAAAGAAATAGACTTGTAGAAAAGGAACATGAAACAAAGAGCACTTTCAGTGCAACATGGCTTGACATACCAAGTGAAGCTGAGAAAGTCAGATGTTAGAGTCTATCTTAAAGGAATGTGCTTAGACGTAAAAAACCTCCAAAAGTTGTGCCATGGAACACAGCATAATGACTAGGGCTTTGGCGAATCAAAACGGCAGATTTCCAATACACATCCAAAAGAGGAAATTATGGCGCTGGAAACTGTAACATAGGACATCCTAAGAAAAAAAACTACAGTTCATTTATTGAGTTCGAGGCATACAACTATGATTATGAATACGGATACAACAGTGCCTGAGGCCGAGAACTATATCAATAAATGGATGATAGAACCTCTTATTATGCTACAAATGCAGACAACCGGGACATGTATTTTACACTGTATTCCGTAATGTAACATCATTTAGGAGGATGAAACATAAAGAGACCTTTCTGTAACTAGTGGAAAACGTCTCTCCGAGCGGGAAACACCTAGTGGTCCAACATCGAAAGGCCCTTAGCAAAACATTAAAAATTAGTAGGAAATACATCGGAAGTGGAAGATTTGTATATGAAGAATTTTTTTAAAGGTTAATTGATACTGGATCTAATGATACAACGAACTTGTGTATCTACTTTTAGTAACTAACTTAGTCACTTGCAGAACTGCCATCCAATAAAAGAAGCTTCAAGTAATTTAGATTAACATAGTTGTTAGCAATAATAAAATGATATATCGAAAGCTTCCCATCAAAAGCTAAAATATATCGATAAAAGGAACCACTGAAATTTCCATGTCTCTTGTACCAACCAGTAACTCAACAGTCTTGTTTTATTTCTGATTGGAAACGAATATATTCAACACATGCTAAATGGTGCCAAGGACAATATGGAAGATAAATATCTACATATTGCTATTTATTTACACCGTTGATTGCATCACATGTTTCTTTTTAAAAATTAAAGAAATGGCTCGGAAAACAATCAATTAGGGGTTATAAATCAGCTGAAAGTCATTGTATCATCATACCACCAATTCAACAGTTTCTATTCCAGGATATATGGATAAGCTATTCCATACCAGTCTACAGCAGCAGTTCTACAAGCTACACCTTGCTCTGTAATTCCATCAGACCTGGATATTGTACCATCCCTCACAGACTATCCAGCCAGTCATGCAGGTAAAAGTAGACATTACATTGCCATGGACAGTACAAGTTCCACCTAAATCCATCATATTTGATACCAACAGTGGAAATCGAACCAAATCAAACAGCTTTTATGTTCTAGCCTGTAACAAAAAAGATATCTTAAGTTTGGTGAAGTGCAAGTAAATAAACTTACAGCATCAGAGCAGCAAGGAGCAGAACAATTATTGAGGAAATATGAATTGCATGTTTTTCGAAGTCAGACATCGAAAACACACTAACATTGTGAAACATAAATATTTAATCTAAACACCATTTTAAGCAAAGACCGAGGCGAATCCCAGAGCCATTTTCAATAAAGATCGTTAAAAATCTCTTCTTGAAGGACAAAATCAAATCACGTGACCATGGTAGAAGCAACGCTCGTTTTAATAAGTACATTTATAAATATTTACATTCGCATGTGTTAGATTATCGCCAGCTAAACCTCAGGACATTCAAAATCATTATGCGCAACCAAGGATAGAAAAATACTGGAAACGTGCCTTAGCAGAAAATAGATTCTTTACCATCTTGGATATGAAGTGCAAGGTACCATAGGGCAGTTATAGAAAGTCACAAGGAAAGAACTGCGTTTACAGTTGCTTTAGGCTTTTATGAATACCATCGCATGCCATTTGGTCTGAATTATCGCACCTGCTACATACCAAAGGCTTATGGAGTAATGTTTCGAAGGGTTAGCACCTGGATATATGCTTCATCTACAAGTCCTGCACTCATAATATTCTCCAATAACTCATGAAGAACATTAAGATCGTTTGGAAAAGAGAAGTTAATCTGAAACTATCACCAAAGAAGTGTGAATTCTTTAAGAGCAAAGTGAAATATGTAGGAAATATTGTCAGTGAGGAGGAATAGAACCAAACCCTGGAAAAGATCAGCAAGTCGACAGAACTGGCCGCAGCCAAGAAACGTCAGATGAAGTTCGCCAGTTCCTGGGTTTTGTTGGGTATTACCGGAGATTCATTGAGGGATTTTCAACAATAGCACGCCCATTGAATGATCTCCTACCAAATACAAAGAAGAAATCTAGAAATGGTGTCAGGACATTAAAAGAACCAGACAAGTGGAGATGGGGTAGAGAGCAAGAACAAGCTTTCAACAAACTTAATGAGGAGGAAAACTCACAACATATCCAATTCTAGGATTCGCCAATTACTCCTTACCCTTTGAACTTCATACAGATGCCTCATCATCAAGCATTGTTTTTTGTATTATATCAGACGCAGGAAAACTTCAAACGGGTCATAGCTTACGCTAGCAGGACCACATCGAAAATCCGAAAAGAATTACCCTGTTCATAAATTGGAGTTTCTGGCTTTGAAGTGGTCTGTGTGTTAGAAATTCAGAGACTACTTATATGGAGGAACATTCCAGGAACTTTACACAGATAACAACCCACTCACGTATGTTTTAACATCTGCGAACCTTGATGCGACAGGGCCGATGGATTGCAGATCTCGCCAACTTTAACTTTGAGATTCTGTATCGACCCGGATCACACAACGCAGATGCAGATGGACTAAGCAGGATACCAAATCAGGAAATCATAACATTTGATTCCATTAAGAATATGTAACTCAGCTGTATCCAACCATCCCTATATACAATGCTTATCCATATCTCCGTAGATTTTAAAAACCAATGTACCAGACTTGAGTGACAAAACTGAGGTTGATGTTCTCGTCATCAGTACAATGACCCAGTGTTAAGGTTTTGGATACCATACGTGCGGGATCAGTACAAGCCAGCAAAACACTACTTACCATACAACAACATCCAGTACCATGCTTTACTTCACAAGAATTTTGACAAACTTAGATTAAGAGATGGGATCCTCATTAGAGAAACAACAGTGAATGAGAAAAAGAAGTCACAGATACTTTTACCCAGATCATGCATTGGAACAGTATTATACCATCTTCATACTGACATGGACATCCAGGCCGTGAAAAAATCATCAGCTTATTAAGGCATAGATTCTATTGGCTCGGTATGACAACAGACACAGAACATTTCATTTCCAACTGTAGAAGATGTCTCTTAAGGAAAACACCAACAACAAGAGCTCCCCTTATAAACATCAAAAAATCGCAACCGTTAGAACTTGTGTGTGTAGACTACTGAGTATCTTAAACTAGAGAAATCAAAAGGAGGATACGAATACATTCCTGGCATCACTGATTATTTTACGCGATTTGCACAGGCTGTACCAACAAAGAACCAAACTGCCAAAACCACAGCTGAGGCATTATACCATCATTTTATTGATCCATTATGGCATACCATCAAGACTACACAGTGATCAGGGAGCAAATTTTGAGTCAAAGAT